TTTTTTTGACAAATTTTCAAAAAATTTTCTTAACATACAAAAGTTAAGAAGCTTTAAAGAAACATCAAAACAACAACGATTTGTTATGTCCTCTTCACACATACATCCAACGATTTACTACCACTTTTATTTTTGTTGCTGTCTGATATCTTTCTTGAATTTTTGTTTTTTAACTAAATGCCAAACAACTTTTACAGCTAGTTCATCGTAATTCATGAATCGATTAGATATGAAAGTGATGTCGTTCTGACAAAAGGAAGGAACTAAAATATTTTTAAGGTCATAATTCTGTCGTCTTGCTTTTTATTTTTTCTTTTGAATTGACTTATCGATAACTGTAATTCTATTGTTAATTATTTATTTTTATTCTTATACATTTTTTTTCTATTATTCTTATTTTTTTGCTACTATTATTATTGTAGTAGTCGTTATTGTAATTGCGAGTAGAGCTGGACTTGAAGTAGCTTTAGCTAAATTTATGCTAATTATAATTTTTCTATGTTAACGGATTTACCTTCTTTCTGCTTCCTGTTTATTTGGTAAGTTTAGATTTGATAAAAAGAAGAGCTTTTTTTTAAAATTTTTTGTGCTTTTTTGTCTATTTTAATTAATAGGTCTAAGTGCTTAGTATTTACTGGTTACTTTTTTTTTTCTTGTTTTCTACGATATGTTCTTTTTTCTTTTGCTGTTGAGCCGAACTGTGAAAGGAGGCGGGTGGAGGACGGTCTTTTGAATGTTTGAAGAAAAAGAAAAAAGTGAAGATGACTTGTGTCTTTTTGAAGTGATGAAGCACATATTTATAAATTTATTTATACCTATGTATTGAGTAGTGCCTTGGATGGTTCAAAATTTTCCTAAATCAAGGTTTGGAATTTGATTCTTGGTTAAATTTGGCAAAACCATGATCTTTTACAAGTTTGAATGAGAATCATTTCCAGTTGATCAACTAATTAACTATGTAGTAAGTTTCTATGTAACATGTTCTTAGTCAGTTGGATATTCTGTTCTTTTTTTTTTTTTATTCGTCCATCTAGTTGAATGACGCGTTATTTTCAGCCGTTCTTCTGCATTTGTTTGTGTTTTTTTTTTTTTT